CTGGGACGCGGCTGAATCCGAACACCCTCCTCAGGGGGTTTGCTCTGAATAGCGTCACACTGTGGGTCCAGGCTCGGTCAAGTGAATTCGGGAGAACCCAGTGCAGGCTGTAACTCAGGACATGTTGACATTTCTCTTTTCCCTCTCCTTTAGGGTAGGAAACGTGTGAGGAGAGCTATGAACAGCACTTATCGCTTGCGTTCGGAGGAGAAACTTCAGCTCCAAGCAGATGCCTCAGATGGGTTCACAAGAACAAAGCCAGTTAGAAGGGCGGACGGCGGCGGGAGCCAGGCCCTGCTGGGTCTGGACACCAACACCTGTCACCTGGTTACCCTTGGAAATGCAGACCTGGTGGCCCGACCGAGGACACAGCTCACTGTCACGCCTGGTGAGATGAAGATGGAGGATACGCACTCAGCACACAATGGGCTCTTTCCATTCACTTTATATTCCGCATTTTATAATCTTTATGTTTAACACTCAGATACAAAACCTAACCCCAAAGTCCTTGTGACCTTCCAGTTGGTAAATCTTTCAGAGATAAGATACCAAAAGCATGATTCACAAAAGGGAAACATTATAACTCGTAATTCTTTTTGCTTTAGGAAGGACATGAAAAGCCAAGGGAGGCGATATTTCCCAAAGCATATTTTAAGTGATTTGCATGCACACAATATTAAAAACTTGTAAAATCCAATCATAGCAAAACAAGATTCCTCATAAAAGTGGGCAAATTATTTGAACATTCTGATAAAAAAAAGAAAAGATGCAGCAGGCAATCCCAGGTGTCCCTCATCATTAGGGGAAGCAAAGTTCAATCACAAAGCGGGAACAATACCAAGTGCTGGGGAAGACCCGGAGGCAACTGGAACTCTGTCACATTGCTGACACCTGCAAAGCTGCAGACATCTGGGGGGTCCTTAGCATTTTCCAACAGAGTCCAGCATGCACTCATCCTGTAGCCCCATAATGCCACACCAAAGCCTGAGTGGACATTTCTCGTGGTTTTACTGGTAATCACACAGGGGCGGGAAGTGCCCACGAGATCTTCACCTGGTACATGGACAAACTGCAGTGCATGTGAGCAATGGAGTAGGACTCAGCCCTCAAAAGTACCAAAGGCCCCTAGGAACATAGATCAAAATGCTTTTTGGTGTGTAAAAAAGGCTAGACTCAGAAGCGCCATATTACAGAACTCCATTATGTGCCATGCTGGAGGAGGTACGACTTTAGGAACAAAAGACCTATCAGTGGTTGTCAGGCCTGGTGGTGGTTTAAATACTGAGGAGGAAAGGGCAGGCGAGGACTGGGAGAGGGACAGTCATCCTCTACGCTGTGACGGCGGAAGCAATTCCGCAACTACAGACACTGGTGGAAGCCCAGGACCACCACCATCAAGGGCCAGGCTCACGGAATGTAATTAAACTGTGAAAATTAACTCTCCGAAAACAGAAGCAGAGGCAGATGCACTTGTGATGTCTTCCTGCCCTGAGTCCCCGCCCAGCAAGACCTGCAGGGCTGCAAGCGCAGCTGCTCCCTGGACAGAGACTGGAGACCAGACCGAGCAGGCAGTGTGTGCAGTGTGCTCCTGTCTCACCTGCCACGCCAGGGTGGATCCGACCCACACGAAGACTTCTTCCGAAACCTCCCGTCCTCTGCCCAGGAAGCACAGTGGTTTGCTCTTCCGGATGCTGGTGCCCAGTAAACACTGAAGCTCACTGGCCTGCCCCTTCCATATACTTCCATTACTTTCCTGTGGACAGAGTTCAAGTCAATCAAGACTCTAAGAGGAAAAGCAAGGATAATACCAGGAAGATGCCACGTGGCATGTTGACTATTATGCCTAAGTCCATAAACATCTCTCACATACTCAGGATTTTTTCACTCCAGGATTCCCAGCAAAACCAAGAACCTAGAATTCAGTTACTTACTCCCTGCTCTGTATAAAGATGAGTTTAATATAATTATTTGTAGCACGTCCTGGATGATCCATTACAGATAAAATGAACTTTATGGCTTGCTCTGTGATGCCGGTGGGTTATAATTCAGCTCATAAGTCACACCGGCAAAATGGGGGCTCACATTTAGAAATCTTGGAACAAAGATGACTGAATTTTCTGAGCTCATTAACTAATGCTGAGCTTCATGAATACTACATGGGGATCCAGGAGAAAGAGAAAGCAGGGGGAAGAGGAAGAGAGAGGGAGGGGGAGAGAGGGAGGGGGAGAGAGGGAGGGAAGTGGGGGAGAGAGACTTACATGGAGTGTAAATTTTGTATTCTCTGACAGTGAAGAGAATACTCACCACATTTATGTCCATAGCATGCTTCCAATCAGAATGCTCTTTGAGGAAAATTCAGAAGTGACATTTACTTATTTGTACTTTCAGGTTGTGTGGCTTCCACAGATGATACATAATTCATGGCAGAAATCATTTGGCTCAAGGGAAACTAATTTAGTTTCTCCCTTTCCAGTGCAACCTCAAACACACACGTGATAAGATCCATGGGTCTGAAGCCAGTGTGGACATGGTAAGAACATGGGAAAGTCAGATTAAATATTTCACGTGGATATGTTAGAGGTCTTCCAATAGTTGTCTTTCTCTTTGTATGAGAGTCTTGATTTATGTTCTTTGGACTCAACTCATTTGTCACAAGCAAAGGTAACACTGGAATCATCCATGGTAGGAGCAGGGGGCTGGGACACCTCGCATGTACCGGAGTCTTCATGCTAACCACAGCGTGAGTCGTAGAGTGACCAGCATCCCATCTTCCTCTCGCTGTCTTGTAGCTGAACACAGATGTGCTTGAACCAGCGGCAGACAGGGATCCTGCATCTTCGGGGGAGTTTCCCACCCCACACAGGACACAGCCTCTGCTCCCAGAGGGGCCACACATTTGGACTGAGCCAAACACCCCAGTGCTCAACAAGGCCGGAGCTTGGAAGACACCCCGATACCCTGACCTGTGCCAGCCAGTCCTGGACCACACTTTCAAGAGGCCAGGTCTGCTGAAGTCTTCGGGTGTGGAGCTCAGCTCAGATGTGTGAAGAGAAGCAGATGGGTGGAAATGCAGGCTGGGGCCGGGTTTAGTGTCTTTTCTGGGAGAAAAGGACCTCACATTCTGTGGACTTGGTGTATCTTTGTTTCCCTACTCGAGGTGCCCATCTGACAGGAAGGTTTTGCCCCTCAGTAGACGAGAAGAAAGGCAGACGGAGTGGGCGAAGGAAGGAAAGAAGGAGGCCCCTGGGCCCAAGGGTGCCACTTTCTAGTTCCAGTGCAGCACACTCAGGCTCATACCAAACCCGATGGCGTGACATGCCCTGCCCTCCTATCAAGCTGCGTGTGTATTTTTGCTAATTCAAGATACTGTGCATCCACTGTTTGGGTGAGGGAGTGGGATATAGGGAAAAATAAGGAAGAAGATGCAAAACCCCTTAGTTCCCATGGCACCGAGATAACCACAACTCAAAATGCTGCCAGGGTTCCATACATAACAGGATGCTGCAAATAGGATTCTCTTCTGCCTTGTTCCGCCTAAATTACACTATAAGCATTCCCTATACTATAAAAATATCTGTGGACTTGTGATTTGTGGAATTATAATTTATATCTCCAATGAAAGTAAATGTTGTATAATCATTATTTGGGGGAAAACACACCAAGAGTCTGAAAGGAAACCCACAGTTACATGACCAATATTCAGCATCTTCCAGCCACGCAAGTGTCTTCTTCTACCTCCATTCTGCAAAGGGACATTTTTGGAAAATTAACTCATTTGGCAGATGCAGACTGTGGAGCTGCTCCCTGGCCCAGATCTGCTTCTGGCAGCCTCTACCACAGCTCCCCATGCCACTTGGGGTTTTATCAGAAAGTCCTGGAAAAGCTCAACAGCAGGGCTACAAAGGAGATTGGATTACGGAGGCGGCTGCTCAGGGAGAGGTTGCTGTCATCCTTCCCTGATCTTCTCTTCTGTCCCTGCTCCCTGACCACCATGATGTGAGTCACTTTCCTCCACCAGACCCTTCTGCCAGTCTCCTTCCTCAAAGCCAGCAGACCATGGACTGGTCATAAACCTCACCTCTTTAAATTGTGGGTGTCAGGTGCAGTATAGTGTTCCAACAGCAAGGCAGGAGAGTAGTGGAGACACCACTTGTAGCCCAAAGGGAAAACACCCCGTGCCAACTTCCTGGGCAGCCAGAGTCTGCTCCCTGTGGCTTGCGAGTTGCATAAAAACAAACCCTGGCTCGATCTGCCAATGTGGCTGCCTACCAAACTCTCGCAGTAAGGCAGGCTTTCCTAGGGAGACGAACCTGGGCTGCTTCCCAGCTGGGAGAAGAGTGGGGATTGTGGCTTCTCCTAACTTGCCCTCTTCACCTGCCCAGCTAGGCACCTGCCCATGTCGGTGGGCGTCAGGCCCCTCAGCAGAAATCTCTGCCCCCAGAGTGGCTTGAAAGGGCAAAAGCTGACCGACTGAGAGCTGATCAGAGTACTCCAGCCTCTGAGTGGAAGCCTGAAGCTTCAGCCCCAGGCATGGTAGCAGGATGCACCTACAGTCTCCTCACCCAGCTGGACAGTGTGGCTCCAGGGGCCCCAGAACCCCTGGCATTGAAGGAAGGTGTCCTCCAAGCCCCAGCCTGGATTCCTGCCAGCAGCTCTCATGGAAGCTGAGCCAGATGGATTGCATCTAGACGTGTAAGTACCTGGGCCTGTGCTGCACTCAATGTGTAGTAGCGGGGGTGGGCAGCTATTTGGGGAGTGTGAGAGACAGAATGACCCCACCCAGGGTGTCCCTTCCCTAGTCTCCAGGACCTTTGAATGGATGCAGTCGATGGCAAAGAGGACTCTGCAGATGTCAATGGAGAAAGGACCTCAGCCTTCCAGGAGGACCAGTGTAACCCCATCCAAAACCAGCAACATCCTTGGCCTTGAACCAGAAGAAACAGTGACATCAGAGTGATCCAGAGCACAGGAGGGAACCAGTCTGTCATTGCCAGGTTGAGGGGGAGCGGACAAGAGACAGTGCTGCTCTCCTAAGCTGAGAGGGGCCCGGCTGACGGCCAACAGTGATGAGACTTCAGCCCTCAGCAGCAAAAAGCCAGCTTCCCCAGGGATGCGAATGAGTGGCAGTGGCCCCCACCCAAGCTGCAGAGACGAGCCCAACAGCAGGAGGGCAGAGGGAGCAGACTCCCCGCACTTCGACCCACAGAGCGGAAGGGCAAGAAGACAGGTTTGTGTTGGTTAAAGTCATGGCGTTTACAGCAGGACAGAAAGCCAGTGTGGAGAGGGAGAGGGGACAAGCATCCCAGCTGCTGCCTGGAGCCCCCTAAGGACGGAAGCAGGGGAGACTCATAAACTGGGAAGAATTCCTGACCTCCACGTCTGCCTTCCAGCCCAGAGACGCCCAGAGAAGCACAGTGGAGAGAGGCCCAGTAGGTCCGCAAGTCCTGGCTGGGTGACTGGGCTCTGCCGGGGCGGGGAGGCCACCCGCAGACACGGCCCGGACAGGACGAGGGAGGGAAGTCCGCACCTCTCAGGGCCTCTGTTTGTCCACCACTTAGTAGAGAAGGTTTTCATTGAGTTCAGCTGTCTCACGTAGCTATTTCTTTCGGGAAAAAAATTCATTTTCCTAGTTTAAATAGGAACCAAAAAAAATCAATCTACATGACAAAGATATTCTTTAAAGGCTAATTTAGTGAAAATTGTATGAAAAATGTAGAAAATCATTATTTTCTAGCAGTGTGGGTCTGAGTTTTCTATTTATATGCAAATGTTGGATGTCTGAGCCTATTTTATGTTTTACAGTTCTGACATATTACCTATTTCATAAACCTGAGATTAATGAAGACTTCAGAGGACAGTGAGGCCTTTGAAATGTAGTAAAAGCTTCATCCCCTAATGTAAATTTCCTAACTAATATTGCTTTACTTTGCAAAAAGCCACAATGAACATTTTAATTTGGGGCTATAATGTATCCTATTTTTAAAGGAAATATATAAATATTAAATTTAAAATAAATAGCCCCAGCCTGGAGGTCGCAGAGCCAAAGGGCCCGCAGCCCACTCCGTCTGCCCTGTGTGCGCTCCCCACTGCACGGACTTCCACTCTTCCCCAGCGCCCCCAGCGCTAGTTGACTGCTTGATTTTACTGTACCCAGTGGTGACTGTTCCAGAAAACCAGAGAACTCGGATTCTTCCTAATCATTTCCTAACTCACTGCCTGAGGAGAAAGTAGAAAGTTCTTTGGCTCGTGTGGGAAGAAGGCCTACCAGAGAGCAGCTGCTCTTTGTGGAAAGATTTTCCTCTTTTTAACCGTCTCCCCAAAGGGGGAAAAGCCCTGCTGAATGGAGCCTCGTGTGCATGGTTGGGGTCTGGGCGGGAGAGGAAGGCAGAGAGAAGGCTCAGCCTGGTGCTGCTGCTCAGCCTGCAGATGCAGGGCGGGCCTGGAGGGAGGCACAGAGCTGGCCGCACACGGTCTGCCCGGCCGGTTAGACCACATGGAAAGCCGGCACTGCTCCGATGGGGACCTGCCAGTTCTCCGCAATAGGCTGCACTGCCTGAAGGAAGGAGGCTGGCCCCTTCCTTTCCTGTTCTGAGTCCTCGCTCCCAAGGCCCTGACGGGGGTCGGGAGACAGCAGAAGGCTGAGCTCACTTGTGGCTTGTCCGCCGAGTCTCACCTGGGCGGCCCTGGCCACAGTTCAGTTTCTTCTCACAACTCAGGAAAGCCCTCTCTGTAGCAGCTACAGGGAGATGGCAGAGGGGACCCCAGGGGCCTGTGCAGGTGTGGGAGAGGGGTCCCCCAAGGTTCCACCTGCTACATGAGGCGTGACTGAAAAGTACAGGGAATGTTTACATTTGTTTACAAGGCATGACAGCGAAAGACACATTGCCATGAGTCCCCTGGAAATGCTCCCTTCGTGTCCAGCGCACTTACCCCATGGCTCCCGCCCCTCTCAGAAGCAGTTCTGAAAGTTCTCTTTCTTGTCTTTAGTTGTGTTGCCCTGGCTGCCTGAATTGATGCACAGCATTTACTTTTCACAGTCATTTTGACCTTGGGGAAGAGCCAGGAGTTGCACGGTGCCAGGTCTGGTGAACAAGGTGGATGAGGACACAGCGCCATGGTTTTATGAGCTGCTTTTCACTGGAGGGCGCTCAGCAGCAGTGCTCACTGAATTCTTGACCACAGCTGGTAAAGGCCTCAGGAAGAAAGGAAAGAAGGAAGGAAAGGAAAAATGGAAGGAAGGAAAGAAGGAGAAGGAGTAACTTTATAAGGTGGAGGACACGTTTGTTATATTTGAGCTGTCCTAATATATGCAATCCTCAAGGTATGTGCCTTAAATATGTGAAATTATTATTTGTCAATTTTGTCTCAGTAAAACTGAAAAGAAGTTTAAAATTCCAACACAAATGTAAGTTTCCTTACTTCGTTCATAATAACTAACTTGTACTAATATTTCCAAATGGTCCTATTTAATCCCCACAACAACCCTGAGTGCAAAGTTCCCCCCTTGTCCCCATTGAACCTGGGAGGAGGCGGGGCCTGGAGGTCCATGCTTCCACTGCACCCTCGGTGGCAAAGCCAGGCTGCAGGCGCGGGGCCTGGGACAGGATGCCCCTCACTGCCCTCCAGAGAGGCCAGGACGCGTATGCAGCCCCCGTGTGTGTGTGTGTGTGTGTGTGTGTCTGTGTCTGTGTCTCTTCTGTGTGTGTGTGTTTCCCTGTGTGTGTGTGTGTTTTCCTGTGTAGTGCTGGAATACATGGCCATACTCAGCTCAAATACGAAACGGGACCAAAGCCAACACTTGCAAATGAACTTGGAGCCTGGTTTCTCCCCCACGCTCACCAGGATGACGAACCATGCGAGCACATGTGATCTAGGACAACCCTGTGAGATCCGGAGTGCACCTGAAAATGCCGGCATGCTCCGGAGAGCCAGGGGCGCCGGGGGCTCTGTCCGCTGGCCCCTCGAGCCCCTCCCACACAGGGGACGGGCCTCCGCAGTGCTGTCCACCCAGACCGGGACACACGGTTCCTCCCTCTGAGACTCTGCCCCTGAAGCTTCCTCCACAGGTCTGTGCACCCACGAGAGTCCAGCCAGAGAAAACTGTCATGATATCAAATTCCTGTTCACCACAAGCTCGGGTTAGCTGCGCGTCGTGGTCCTGCGAGGAAGACGAACACAGCCCAGGCCCCAGGACCTGCCCCCTCCTCACACAGCAGGCCTCTGCTCGGGGGAACGGGCCGCGGACAGGGGCAGCAGGCGGTGCCCCTGGGGGGATGCAGCAGCGGTCAGGGCGAGACCAGGCTTCTCGGGAGTCCATCGCCATCCTCTGTGTCTCCGTGCCAGAGAGGCCATCAGCATTCGGAAGATGGAATTTCAGAGCCAAGGAGAGAGAATTCTAATCTGCCACTGTTCAGGCCCAGAGAGAAGGTTTGCAACTCGCTTCCTCTGCCCCTGCAGGGCCCGTCTGAGACCACGGCCTTGTCTTCCCTTGTCTTTTGGCAAATTCGGTGACTTTCTGTCTCAACCTCAGTCGCATGTACAGAGAGAGACTCCGGGGCCTCAGCTACGTTGTCCAGTTCCTTTGTACGTGATGGAGGGACTTTCAGTAAACAGAAGAGTCACCTTATCGATTATGTAGAACTTTGGCTGTAGCTGCACGTAACATACACTTTAAGAATGAGGAGAGGTGATGTCATGTTTACCAGGAGTAAGCCAACACAGCAGCATGCTGAGTGAGAATCAGGAAATCCCTGACAGCTCTCACACCCTGCTTTTCAGAGGACTCACTCAGGAGTTGAACTCAGTAATAACCACGGTACACCCGATCCTTTACAGCGGCTCCTCCGTTCACAAACTTGATTCTTTCCACAATCCTGGTCGCAAACCGAGTTGGACGAGAACCGAGTCCCATTCAGTGGGTGGCTTCCGTCTTGACCTCATGAGGGGATCAGACTCGAGCTCAGGCTTAGCTCAGTCTTTCTGGCCCTGGAGCCTCAGCCTGCAGCCCTGAGCCGGTGATGGGCTGTCAAAGGTCCGTTTCTAATGTGTTTGATTTTTTACCAGCTGAGGTGAGCAGAAGGGAAAAAGAGAGGATCTTTCCCCAGGAGGTTCATACTCCCTGAGGAGCTGGCTGATTCCTTTCTACCTGAACGAAGCCTGGAAATTAATCTGATAGCGGCTTGCCTCTGCAGATGGCAGCCCGGAGAGAAGCTTGGCACACTCCTGACTGCAGAATCATCTTCGGAAGGTGTGAGACACAAATGCCAGCTCCCCTCCGGGACACTAGAGTCCCAGGGCCCAGGCCAGGACCAGCAGTGGGACAGTGATCCGCCCTAAGGTCAGGCTGGCTTTGAGGGCCCTGCCTGGGACCTGGAGCGGGTGACACCCACAGCTGCACCGGGTTTCCTGCTGTCTGAGTCCAGGAGACGAGTAGAGCCCACCACACTGAGCGGGGGGTTAAGGAATTCACTCCGCGGGTCTGTGGGCACCTGCTGTGTGTCTGGCATGGTGCTGCGAGCTCAGGACACAGCGGAGAACACGACCCACAGGACCCTTGTGACAACTGGCACCTGAGAGAGAGACCCACAGACCAGGAAGCCACCCAGCACCGACTCCGTGGCTCCCCTGGTGCTGAGCAATGCACAGACCCGGCCATGCTGTGGCCAAGCTTCTGACCTGTGGAAGGGAGGTGACCACTGGCGTAATTTATCACAGCAGCAGGAGATGACCATGAGGAGGTACAGCAGGTGAGCAAAATGTACAGTGAATGGTTAAATTTTTAAAATTCTCACAATAAAAGACACATTGCAATTAATCCTGCTCGCATGCCCCCTCCCTTCCAACACATCCCACCATCCTCGCTGCTTCCTGCAGCAGCTCTGGAGCCCTCTTTCCTGAGTGTCTTTAGCTGGGCTGCCCTGGCTGCCTCCATGTCCTGACTCAATTCAAAACATTTCCTTCCCATGGTTGTTCTGACTTTGGGGAGGAGCCAGAAGTCACACGGTGCCAGATCTGGTAAATGAGGAAGATGAGGATCCAATGCAATTTTTATTTGACAGCAATTGCCATAAACATTTTGAATCAATCCAGCACATCGAGGCACCCACAAAAGTCCCGCTCCAGACTCAGAATTCAGTTCATTTTCCCCAAGTCATGCGGCTAGAGGGTGACAAACCCCAGAGCACGGGCCCACCTGGCCCCAGGCCGTGGCCCAGCACGTGGCTCCATTTCTTCTCTGAGTCCTGCTCAGGTGCAGTCTCTCAGGTGTGTGACAGTGAGCAGAGCGTGGCCAGCCCTCGTGGTCACAGACGGAGGGGAGGCTGACACGGGGCCTGTGACTGCCTCGTCAGGCCTTCTAAGCACTTCGCACTCAGCAACTAATGAGTAACTTATCAGGTGCTTGTTAAAATTTTAATCAGATAAGTTCTACTTTAGAAGTTAAACCTCAAGACAGAACAACTACAATGGAACCTCTCCACCCTCACGCATCTGGGCCCCCTGAGTGTCGCAGGGGCCCCCAGCCAGCCCACAGGCGATTTCTCCACGGCCTCCCGGAGTCTGGCTTCAGTCCACTGAGCAAGCCCTGGAGAAGCTGTGAGAGCCGAGCCGCATGGGTGAGAGCGCTGGGCGTCTTCCTGGGGTAGAGGGGTGGAGCTACGGGCCCTGTCACAGGCCGGCAGCTGGTGAGGGACCTGGGTCTACCTGAGCTGGCAGGACGCGGCCTCAGCCCCCAGCCTCTCTTCAACTGCTCGCGCCAGGTTCCCTGGGTGTCCTTTGATTTAATAGTGTGACACCAAGCAAGGAAACAAGGCCAGAAAAGAAAGACAGAAGCCACTTCCCTCTGGGACGTCACCGTCGGGGACAGAGATGAGCGAGAGAAAGGAAGAAGGAGGGATGATGAGGAAAGCAGAGCCGCTCCACCTTCCCTGGCTCAGAGGCTGTTTGCCTGAGTGTGAAGGTCGGAGCCAGTGCCTTGCAAGCTGCGGGCGACAGACGCCTCACTTGGAGGAAAACCAGCACACGGACCCCTAACCTCAGTGCCGCCCTTGGGTGTCCCGTTTTGATTCTCGGGAAGTCTGTGCGCGGGCGCGGCAGTCCTGGAGTGTGGCAAATGGAGGGAGGGACGAAGGGGGCCGAATTAGCCCTGAGGAAAGCTGTGCCTCACTTGGCCCTGGGCACCAGCTCGACCCCCACAGATCCATCCTCTGCAAATGATGCCGGGGATTCCCACCCGCCTCCCCGCAGACACAGATCCCTCCACAGAGCACAGCTCTGAAGGCCTGGAACAGGCTGCAGGCCCGAGTCAGCAGGAAATCGAGTCTGTGCACAACCCATGAGCAACACGTGAGCACCTTCCGGGGACTCCTGCCTGGCTCCACAGCACAGGCAGCTGGATCCCCCCTCTCCTGCACTCCAGCCTGCTGCAGGAAGCAGCCTCAAGGATGCTTCACAGCCTGGGACGGAGCCTGGAAAAAGGAACCAACTGCAAACCCAGGCCTCCTGAACACAGTGCCCTGTCCAGGCCTGCAGGGCTCCTGGTCAGCAATGGACTGGTCCACCTCTAATACAAATGGGCAGCAGAGAGCCAAAAGCGAAGACAGATCATAAAGGAAAGAGCCAAGGAAGAGTATAGAACAGGGACCTGGCAGGGATCTTATCTGTAAGAACTCCTGCATATTTCGAGTCAAGGGCATGACATTGGAAGACGATGTTCTTTTCTGAAACCGCACTTCTTTGTGCTCTATCCCGAGGTGGTCAGCAGCTGTGCCCATGGGAGGGGTGGAGGAGAGGCCAGGGAGGTGAAATTTACTAAACTCCAGCTCCTAGGAAAGGGGCTCAGCTGCCAGCACCAGGTGGCCAGGAGGAAGAGGCCAGTATAAGGGAAAAGCTTGGGGCACAGGCTTTGGGGCTTCTGCAGGACGAACACAGCAGGCAGGGCCACCATTTAGGGTGAGCTGGTTGGAAGGATCTTGGGGGCCTCTGAGGTGGCGCTGTGGCCTCTGGTTGCTGTCCCAACCCTGGGCGGGTCAGGGTGAGGCACTTGGCTGCAGAGGGAGGTCTGGCCCCAGCTGGCTGATTGTGCAGCAAAGTCCTGCTCGGGGCTGGGCCTTCCCTCTCTCCAAGAACTGGCCAGACCTAGAGACGCAGTCTCTCCCTGCCCAGAGTTTAAGATGTCAAATCACCCTCATAATACTCAAAAATTAAAAATATATATTTGTGCAATATGAGCATTCAAAAAGAAGCTGGGCAGAGTGGGGCACACCTGAAATCCCAGCACTCTGGGAGGCTGAGGCAGGAGGATCCTAAATTCAAGCCCAGCCTAGGCGACTTAGTGACTTAATGAGACTCTGTCTCAAAACAAAAAATAACAAAGTTCTGGGGCCGTGGCTCAGTGAAAA